TTGCAAAGAGCTTTGGGAGGGAGAGTCCCTTTGAAAGGTCATGAGCAAGAATGGCATGATCAGTAGGCCCTAATTTTAGTAATGTTTGTTGTGAACTTTGTGAATTAAGAAAACTTCTGGCATCCTTCTGGCCTTAGCTCTGTAGATCAAAATTATTTTAAAGTCTTAATGATGTCAGAATACAGGTAGCCCTTGACTTACAACAGTTAATTTAGTGACCATTCAAAGTTATAGTGGCACTGAAAAAATGTCGTGACCGTTTTCCAAATTATGATTTCTGCAGCATCCCCGGGGTCACATGACCAACATTCAGATGCTTGGCAATTGGCTCATACTTATGACGGTCGCCATGTCCCGGGGTCATTTGATCCCCTTATGCAACGTTCTGACAAGCAAAGTCAATGGGGAAGCCAGATTCGCTTAACCGGGTTACTAACTTATTAACTGCAGTGATTCACTTGCAGTGGGGCAAGAAAGGTTGTAAAAATGGGGCAAATGTCACACTTAACAACAGAAATTTTGGGCACAGTTGTTGTCATAAGTCGAGGACTACCTGCATAGAGATCTGGAGAAATTCCTATCAGGGCAAATAAATTAACCATGTTAAAAAAAAAATATATTGAGCAAGAGACGACCTGGTAGGAGAATTAGCTTTGTAGTTGCATCAGCCAAGTTAGTAATTACTCTTTAATTGCCAGGAGTTTGAATCTGTAAATCTGTCTCTCCTAGATTATTAATGAAGATGTCTTAAAGCAAACGTGTGATGCTCACCAACTTTGTATCATTTCTGTTTTGCCCCATATACTTGACACAGGTAAGAAGGACAAAACAGTATTTTCCCTTACCTGTGGCTTTTATACTGGCCTCAAACGTGATCTTTTTTTTTATGATTTCTGTTAAACAGGAGCTGCAGGTAGAAATGCCTACCTGGACGTCATGTTGAAAATGGCAGACAAATACAAAAGGAAGATGTGGGGGTAAGTTACAGATTATAGCGGAAGGTGCTTCGGTTTGGGGGCAGGGGGGAAGACCAAACTGTGTTCCTATTGAAATGAAAATAGTGACTCCATGACAAAGATGCTACTGGCCAACATAGACTAGCCTACAATGCTTACAAACTGGAGTAAGGGAGACTTAAGGAAATCAGCCGGTTTTGATCGACTGTCTCTACCCCTTTTGCTCTGCAGCTTGCAACAGAAATTGGGTGATGCCAGGGGATCTGGAACTGTAGGGAAATGTGATCTTCTGTGGTTTGCTTTGAGATAAACGCCTAATTCTTTTTTTTTTTTTTATCCAAGGTGGCTGTGGACAGAAGCCGGAGCGCAGTCTAACCTCGAAAGCTCTTTGGGTATTGGTGGCTTTGGCTATCCAGCCATGGCAGCCGTTAATGCCCGAAAGATGAAATTCGCTCTCCTGAAAGGGTCTTTCAGTGATCAGGGGATTAATGAATTCCTGAGGTAAGGCTTTGTCGTTGGTACCTCAAATCCTACGAATGTTGTGCTTGACGAGTTTCAATGAAAAATAGTGCAGTTGTCAGTCAGAGGGAAAAATAATTGCTTTGTAAGCATGTTTGTTGACTTCCTTTCTGAACACAAAAAGACTGTTTTGCTCAGGAGCGTTCCTGAATCCCATCTTTTTCTACTTTAACTCCTCTCCCATTTTTTTTAAAGAAATGACTGAAATCTCATGAAATTTTAACTGGGGGAAGGTGGGCCAGTTACCAGTCTCAGTCAGTGCTATTCACTATATAATTCATCACGTCAGGCTTATTTATTTTATATCCCGTCTTTTATTATTTTTATAAACAACTTAAGATGGTGATCATGGCTGCTACTTCTTCCTCCTCTTATTTTTCACAACAACCCTGTGAGGTGGGTTGGCTAAGAATGAGTGACTGGGCCATGGTCACCCACCCAGCCTTCTTTCATGTCTAAGACAGGACTAGAACTCATAATCACCAAGTTTCTAACCTGCTGCCTTAATCATTAGGCCAAACTGGTTCTCAAATGTGAACCACCAGAGAACGTTCTAAATGTTCATTCAATTTTTAGGGAACTTTCTGTTGGACGAGGGTCCACAGCACCAGTTGGTGGAGGCGCTTTTGCCAAAATTAACACAGTGGAGCCCTGGGATGGCAAAGATGGTGAGGTAAGAGACTCCGTTTTCATCTCTCTGTTCATACAGAACCTGTTTGGACATTTTAGGGTTCAAGTGTTAAAAGTTGGTTCACTATCAAGTCAATCTCTCAGTATGTAGCTAGCCTGATAAACCTTCAGTATATACCCTAAAGCTTGTACTCAAAACATCTGTTTAATTAAAACTTTGCTGCTTCTTTTTATTTCTCCTCTTTTCTATCACCCACCTTATCTGTGAGAAGCCATCTTAGTTCTATACTTGGCTCTGTATCTTAGTTCTCTTTTGGATTTTGCTGAAAGTGTTGACGTTTGTTTACCTATCTATTTTTGGCATAATTTTATTTTCTGTATCCTGTTTGAGCTATTCTGGTATGCTTCCTGTGCAGACTATTTTCTTTTTTTCTTTCCTGTCCTGATGCAGGTTGCTCACCAAATGTTCAAGTACTCTTAGCATTGTTGCATTAAGGGTTATAAAGAGGAACTTGATAACGTCACTCCTACTTTGCTTGTTTATCCAGCTGTTCAGATTACATTAAAGCTTACGTAGATTTTCAACTTTGTTTGCTTAGAACAGTGTTTCTCAACCTTGACATTTTAAGGCATGTGGACTTCAACTCCCAGAATTCCACAGCCAGCATTGCTGGCTGTGGAATTCTGGGAGTTGAAGTCCACATGCCTTAAAATTGTCAAGGTTGAGAAACACTGGCTTAGAATCTGCTGTTGGCTTCTACTTTTTTATATGCAATTTCTGCTCCATAGTTCACTGAAGCCACACAAAATGTCATACCTGGGCTTGTTTCAATCCTAGTTTGCTTAATGAAAAAGAAACAGTCTATCTTGTAGAAAGATAAAATAATAATGCCTTGGCCATTTTTGAGTTAACATTGGTTTACTGTTTGGATGATTTTGCTGTACATCTCTGTAGGCATTTAGCAGCTTGAGTGTAGGACACAGAACAAGAATCAAGAAGCCAAAGAGCTGTAAATAAACATGTAGCCCAGTTCCCTTATCATGTTAAGCCAACATTTGACTTAGCATGCAGTGTAAACCCAGTTATTTTGATCTTAACCATCAGACACTAATCATAGCTTTAATTTTTCCGCTGATTTTAAAGAGTTAAAATAACAGCAACGAGATTGAATGGTGTTGTGGGTGATGGAACTCCACTTTAACTGCATCACTTATCTGAATGGTAAAAATCTTACCTTCAAAATAAGATGGTGGTTGTGTAATTTATACTTTTAAGGGAAGGTCAGAAAAGTGACTTGCCGGTTGTATACAAACTAAAAAAGCACAAGAGAGGATTTAGGTCTCTTTAGAAGTTATCTAATAGTAGCGTTGTTTGCTTTTGAGCAGAATTTTCTCAGCATCTTAGGGGGGGGGTTGAAACTTGTTCTAAGAAGTGTATGGCGATACATGATAAACACCTCATCAATTCACACTCCCATTGTCTACAGCTCCCAGCTGAAGAGGATATTGATCTCAGCGATATAGATCTCGATGACTGGGATACTCAGAAGGATGAATTGTGAGAGCCTGAAGATAACTTTGTTTCTTGAGAGACAATGGGCTGCGGTTGGATTGGATAGAAGAACGTTTTGCATCACACGGATCTATCCACCAGTGGCCTTTTTTGCCGAAAGAGCAGCGGTTGGAGACATGGTCATCAGTGAACTGAGCATCTCTTAAGAAAAAATATCTCACAAATTCTATGAATTTTTTTTATTGAGTGAAATTGTATCCGGTGCAACAGATATTTTGAGAACAACATTGATCTTTCATTGAAATGCTCTTGGTTTTTTTTTTTTTTTGTTTCTTTATCTAGCTGGCATGTGGTGGTCAATTGTAACTTGAGACTTTTGTTGTGCTTAGTTTTAAAATGTGGATTCTTTTTTCTCCTCCCCCGCAATATAGCTTTCATTTCAATGAAAGAATAAAACAATATTTTTGACTCTGTGTCAGTGTTGTACAGTGTGCAGAGATCTCCTTTTGACTAGATGAGTGCAGTATTTCAAGCCATATTATGATACATGTCTGTGTGTTCGTATTAAGGCAGTCACTTTTAAAATTCTGCTGTTTTGAACAAACTATAGTGAAATGTTTCACACAAAACTAACTAAGCTTTATGAACCGGGTGCTCGGATTCTCTCTAAATACTTTCAATTGTTATTTTTCTGTAGAATTGAAAGAAATGCCATGTTTACTGGTAATGTGTGATAGGTTTATCTTGACGCAGTGGGAATCTTTAAGGACTAATGTTCCTTCGTGGTAACTCAAGAAAAATAGTAAGCGATCAGCTAATTCTCATTGTCTCTGACAAATAATGTTCCCAGATAGACCAGAATTATGATTTGAGACTAATTTTAGTATAATATTAAATTGTAAAGTATAATACTCCTATAGCAGAAGATGTGATTTCTTTGGAAGGATATAAGAAAAATCCCAAGTATCAGTGTTATATTCTCCTGCCCCCAAAAGCAATATTTCTCTTTTTTAAAAAAGGCTCACTTTACTCTAGGGCAGGAGTATCAAACTGCTGGCCCGTGGGCCAGATGCATCATAGCAAAACCAGCCCCCCCCCCATTGCCGGCAATGGCAAAAAAGTTGAAATACATCACGTCACGTGATGTTGCGAGTTTGACACCCCTTCTTTAGGGCCTGCAACATCATTGGAGCCATTTGCTGGGCTTTACTCTTTTTTTTTTTTTTTTTTTGTAAACTACCCTTTGAGCAGCATTGAAGGAGGTTTATCTATACTGTAACATTGTCAACCAATGGTGGTGAGAGGAAGTGCTGCCATTTATTCTAATCCAAGTTGGAAACTTAAAAGACCATAATACTTTCAACAAACTGGAAAAAAAAAAACGAGATTTCAAATTCTGTATTATGTCTACAGTGAGTCAGTCTTCAGTGGAAGGAAAAGCTGTTTCACTGAAACAAGAGAGAAAAATTGTCTATCTGGATTTCTTACATGCTAAACTGAAGCAACTAGTTAAATCAAAATTAATTTCCCAAACATATTTCCTCCTATTTTAATGTATAACTGCTGTATTGACTGAATCAATACATTAAACAAATTACAGATGTATGACTCCAGGATATTTCTACCTTAAACTACCTTTAAATTTTTTTAAAACCCTAGACGATCAGGGTTATTTACAATAAATACAATTATAACACAATACCTTGCAAAGAATGTTTTCTAATATAATCAGAAAAAAGCTTCCAGTATCTTTTAACTGTTAAAATGGTAAAAAGCAATTAGTCTGCTTATCGTTAAGCCAAATCTAGGAACTACAGTTAACACGTGCTTAAAATTACTTGCTTTTTCTGCATGGAGAGGGCCACATTCCTATTATATGTGTATTAAAAACAAAACAGCTTGAGTGGATGACATTTCGGTCACAATCAAATCCAACAATACTGAAAAACAAGTCACACTTGGCCCAGCAAACTTTAGCTGGAATCGAGAAGACTGAGGTCAATCTTGAAATAGACATAGGGGTAATAGTCTTGATTGCTTAGCTGCAAGCCAGGAATGTCAACCGAAGTCTGGGAAAAGATTAAAGTAGGGTAAGGTCCTTCAAACTTATAGATAGGTGCTACAATTTTTACTGAATGTGTGGGAATGCTTAAGAAACATCAATAACCATAACAGGAGCAAGTATTGTGAAATGAAAGACTTCCAACAAGCAGTAAATACAGATGTTAAATTGGAAATCTCCAGACTTAGTGTAATGAAGCTGATCCCTCATTAGAAGTCTCTAGATCAGGGGTGTCAAACTGTCGGCCTGCAGGCTGGATGCATCAGGCCAAAACCGCACCCACCCCATTGCCGGCAATGGAAAAAAAGTTGCAATACATCGCAACACATCACGTGACATTGTGAGTTTGACACCCCTGCTCTAGATCTTCTGAAAACTTCACAGCAGATGATACAGGAATAAGGTAAGCCAATTTAAGGGTGGAGTAACTGCAGCCCTGGGGTTCCACACATACTCTGTTAGGGAAGTATGGCACTTTTATAACTTTATGGACTTCAACTCTCAAAATTCCCATGCTGGCTTAAGAATTCTGGGAGTTGAAGTCCACAAATCATACAAGGGCCATAGTTCCTCACCTCAGCTATAAATGATTGTTACCTTTTATTCAACAGCCTCCTGACTGGGAGGCAGAAGGCGGTGTCAAAAATGAGACAAGGGGAAGGGTCAGAATAGGAGACACTACCCATTTTGACCTATGCTTCCCACAGCCCTTGTTTGCCATCTACCTCTTTTGGCGGGCCACCTGCAATGGCATACTTACATCCAATAGGCTGGCTGCTGCTACTTCATCCAGATGCTTGAAAATTGCATTTAGTACTTCTCTCAACCTCTTCATGGATTTCTTATTAGGATGAAGTAGCATTGTCTGGAAGTTCACTGGTAATCCATACCTTGAATAAATTCAATGGGTGTTAAACTGGCAGCAGCAAAATGCAATGCAAGAAGTTTTCACATTACCTATCAACTATCCTCATTTTGCTTTTCTTTGTGACTAGGAGTTTTTAGTCTTAAACTGCACCAAAGATTGTTTATTTTCCTTATTAACTCTATCACAACATTTGCCTAATTACAGTTTGTTTATTCCTGGAATGTTTAAGAACCACAGGTTACCACAAAAGTATGTTTAAAATCAATGAGAAAGTTAAAGTGATCAACCGAGATCTGTAATGATTGTACCGAGTTTGTGATTTGTTTTAGGAAAAATGTATCCTATGAAATTTCATGTTTACCTGAGGACAGATTCTGAAAAAACTCTTAGTGCCTTTATATGGATCCAAGCCACAAATGCTTCACTGAAGTTCACCTTTAACCATCTCAACAGAGGACCCTTTAATGAGTAAAATACAATATCAGTTAATAGAAGAGCTGTAAGTGTAATTCTCAAAGGTTCCAAACTGATGGCCCATTTTTTTTGAAAATTTCACAAAATAATATGAAATATGTGAGGAGCAATGTAATCCACTTTCTTAAATTAAACCGAGTCTTAAATTACATTTAGGTATTGTCATGCTCCCATAATACTTAACCAAAATGGCTAATTGTGATCCTTGGCCCCTCCCAGGAAGGATGCAGGTAATATGATTCAGCATCCAGTGATTAAAAAACAACTCCTTGGTAGCCAAAATAGAGTTGACATAGCGGGAATTTGTCATCCAGGTAGAACTTGTCACATGCATATACGTCCAATCCTATTTTATGGCCTCCAGAACTCACAATTATGCCCCAAAAGTTCACCTCTATTTCACTGATATTCATCGATGGCATGTTTTCATGGGTTTCATACAAAGTAAGGTCTGTGGAGGCTTCAGTTACCCATTCACTCCTTCAAAAATCAAGCCCTCCAAAAATGGGTGAAACATATTAGCCAATGACTCAAGTAGTCAAGCCTACAGATCGTGGTGCTACCTCTGGCTGGGAAAAACTTGCAGAAGAGCTAGCCAACCCATCTGAATGGTGTCTGTTGGGTTGCATTCCGCTCAGCCTTCAGAGGATAACAATTTCCCCAGGCATTTGGGTCAGGTTTATGCGATGTCCATTGCTGTTGTTATGGGGGGGGGTAGTACTAGTTGAGAGTGGGGGGTCACTGTTTTATCTGTGGGCATTGAGGCTTGTATTTTGTGGGTTGTGTGCTTTTAATCTTTATATACTGCCCAAAGGTATTTATGTAAGATGGATGGCCATATTAATCAAACAAAATTAGGTAACATCCATTCACAGGGAAGACATTTGAAAGTCCCGTTTTTAGAAAATCAAGAGTACTATTCTGGACTACATCTACTATTATATTGAAACACTGTGTTGATGAGAGAAAACTGCACTGGTTTGTGCCTAATAAGGTTGTGTGTGTTTGCGTGCATGCATGCATCTGGATGCATGCATGCACCTTTGAATCAGTATTGGCTTTGGCCTGGACAAGTCCCTGCAGTTTTCTTGGCAAAGTTTTTCAAAAGTGGTTGGCCCTTGCCTCCTTCCTAGAGCTGAGAGAGAGTGACAGGCCCAAGGTTATCCAAGTGGCTTTGAGCCCCAACCTAGAAGTCCCATTCTCCCGGTTTCTTACGTGGTGCATTAACCACTACAGCACACTAGTTCTCAACCACACACGTGCACACTCCAAAGGTTTACAGGTGTAACCAGACCTGTAAACATAAACTGCAAACATAATAGCTGTATTCACAATGTGTTAAATTTGGTTCCTTTTTCCCCCGGTTTGGCCTGCGGTGCAAACGTAGGTCATTGATTAATTCATGGGTCAATGAGTCATGCGGATTGTGGCAATGGATTAATTCAGCAATCGGGTTAAATGTGTTGTGTGAACAACACTTTTGGATAATGAATTGTCTTGGCTGTCATCCCAAGAATATGTATAGCATTTCTGGGCAAACCATTAACAGTGGGATCGTGTGGTAACTTGGCAAACAGTCAGCAAGTGGGGCACAGAAGTCAATTCCGCACAACTTGAAGTTTACTCACATACTGTTGCTTCTTATCAGAAGCTAACTTCCTCATTTCGTCCTTTTCACACTTCAGTTCTTTTTCATCAAAATAAAATTCCCGCACCATGAACCTGAAAAGAAATCAGTATAGACATTCAGCACCTGGGCTTTTAGAAAGCTGTTCCCTGCCTGGGCTTTTGAACACAAATGCTCTTTTAAACCACAAGGTACACTTTGAAAGCTTAGCTGGGAAAGAAGGTAAGTTTTGGCAGTGTGGGAGTAAGTCACGTTAGACTAATTTTCAAAGCTTTCAGGAGCTCTTGTCATCTTTAATAAGCTCGTTTTATTTTCAGCTCCATGAGTCCCTCCCGATGCATCAGACTGGAAAAAGTGACTCATTAGCTGAAGTTATGAAGGGTTTCTTATTTTTCCTTATATCCTACCCTTCCTCTCTGAATTTAACAGCCACCCTGGGTGTTTTGGATGGAGAGCCAGTGGTCAAAATAAGTGATGATTTAGGCCAGTGGTGGCGAACCTATGGCATGCGTGCCAAAGGCGGCACTCAGAGCCCTCTCTGTTGGCACGCGTGCCACCACCGCCAGCAGCAGGTCCATCAGGCCACCACTGCCACCTGGAGCAGGAGCCCCGCCCAGCACAAAGGAGGCGAAGCGGCCGACTAGCAAGCTCAAGTAGAGGTGGTAGAGCAGAGGTCACCAACCATTGTCGATTGGTGGACTGGAAGAAAAGGGAGGGGGAAGAAGCATTTTACATGCATGCATGCGCACACGGGGCCGTGAGCATCGACACACTGCAAATGGGGCGGAGCTAGTGCCTGCATGATACTCACTAGGCCTGCCCCATTCTTATGTGGTGCAGCACCTAGTATCTGCACCCCGGGGTGCGGCGGTGGCCATTTTTGGGCTTTGCAGCATGGTGGCCCATTTTTGTGCTCCCAGTTTTTGCGTGCCAGAGGTAGCACTCAGAGGAGCCTCCCTGCCCCCCCCCCGAGGGCACCACAATGCTGATGCGGCCCTGGCACTTTGCAATAAATAAGTGGGTTTTGGGTTGCGGTTTGGGCACTTGGTCTCTAAAAGGTTCGCCATCACTGATTTAGACTGTAGATAGTCATATATGAAAATATCCTTAAACAAGTTTAAAATCTGGTTAAAACGTAGCTGAATGGTGTGTATATAATAGACTTTCCCCACTATATCCTGGAGATTCATGGAAGGCAGAGAAGAAATGGCTGCCCGGTCTTCCTATTCTGCTGATGCAAACAGACCCACCCCTGGATCCAGCCATGTGCAAATTATTCAAGAGCTCTGATGAGTAACTGCATGGACGTGTCTAGTTTCACTTCAGCACAGGAGAAAGAGCCTGAATTATTTTGCTTTTCTGGCATAGAAGTAGAAAGAAAACCATACTTGTTCTCTCTGGCTTTGGTCTTAAAGTCATCAATCACTTTTCGGAACAGGGTGACTGTGAAGAGCCCTCCCTCGGTGTCTTCAGCGATCATCCTGGAAGAATCAAATACATTGCTCCAGTTATTCTAAAACTTATCCTGCCTTTCCGTGATAGGGTGCCAAAGCAATTAACGACGAGTGTGTAATTGTGATTGTTAATAATGATAACCTGTCGTAATTGGTAATTGTCAGATTCAATTACTTCCTTAGCAGTTTCTTAATCCACACAATAGTACTGTACACTCTATTGTTACATAGAGATTTTTTTTTAGCTTCCATTTCGCCACCACCACCAAGTTCATGTGATTAACAGAAGACACTGGGTTCTTCAGAAAACAATTGAACACACTTTCCAAACATTGCTACCTACATTCCTCTTACGGTACCCCTTTCCTTTCCTTTCCTTCCCTTTCTTTTCCTTTCCTTTCCTTGACAATAAAAAGCAATCTTGTTATATAAGAAGAAATATCAAAAAGAAAAACTCAGCAGCTTTAAATCAACCTCCCCCAGCATCCTTTAAAACTTTATGCAATAAGACAGTATTAATATTTAATACTTTTTAAAAAAATAAAAATGAGATATTTCTTGTCACAATTTGCCACAATCCAAATTCTTTCTTTTTCAAAATTCCTAGTAGAAGAGGAGACTCAGCCGTGTCTAATCCTATTTAAGTTCCTTCAAGGACCCCCTGCAATGTTCATATTCCAGAATATCCAAATCAGAAGCATGCCAATTTGGAAAAAAAAAATTCAAGCAAAGCATTTCCAAACCAGAATATGACAATACCAGGAGGATAGGGAAGTAGTACATGAGGGAAAACCGAGAGATCGTTCAGAAAAATAATAATTTATTACACTTGCATGCCACCTGACTCCCAACGATTCTTAGCATAAGGTTGAAATCTGTTAGAGAAACAAGGCAGTCCAAAAGTTGTACTTACTTCGTAGAGCGAGGAACCACCATATCCGAGAGTGATTCATATGTTTTTTGCCATTGCACATAGCTTGATCTGCAACAAGACAAATTTTGTACAGTATCTCTGTAGAAAGGGCTACTTTAAGCATAATGATTGTCACTTCTCTTTACAGAAATTCAGAAAATCTTAATGCTAAGTTGATAAGTGGGGGGAGGGGGGAAAGCACCACAGTGAGATCGACCCTGTGTGACAAGGATGTTCAATTTCCATCAGCTTGAGCCTCTAGGCAGCATCTTCTGTGCCAAATTCCAAAAGTGGCTAAAACCGTGCTATTCTCTTCAAGACACTCATTTTACCCTTTAACCCAGCGGTTCTCAACCTATGGGTCGCGACCCCATTTGGGTTGATCGACCATTTCACGGGGGTCGCCAAGCAAGGCTGTCCGCCATTTTTTTGTCCGCCATTTTTTTTGTCTGCCATTTTTTTCCCTTTTCCGGCGGGTGCCTTACCTCCCTTGGGCTGGGCCAGCTGGTGGTCGGCCTGCTCCATCTCTGCCGCTTGCCAGCTACGCCTTGGCCGGCGCAGGGGGCAGAGCCATGCATGCGCGGCGCTCCCGGGCAGGGAAAGTCCTCGACTTATGACCGGTTGGGTAGTCCTCGACTTATGACCGGTTTAGTCCTCGACTTATGACCGGTTTAGTCCTCGACATACGACCGGTTGGGGGTCGCGGCATTAAAAAGGTTGAGAACCACTGCTTTAACCAAAACTGAAATTTTAAGTTCCACTCAATCTCCAATGGGAGAGCATTGGGCTTCCTGAGCTGCACATTTTATAGGCCAGAAATCCTGGAGGACACAGGTTGCCCAATCCCCATTCCATTTTTTTCTAAGGGTTAGCCAGCTTCCAGTGTAAACAGCTAGCGTTAAGACCCTTGAATTGTCTTCCCGAGTGAGCTGACAAAAGTGGATTCAAGCATGGTGCTGGGCCTAAGACTTGAGAGGTGAACATTCAGAGTTTATACTGAAGTTTCCATATTCGGGGAACTTCCTAGGGGGCTCATTGCAATTAGAATACGTTCTAACATACAGGCAATCCTCTACATATGAGTGTAATGGAGCCCGCCATTTACGGTCGTATATACTGTGATATATTGTAAAATTATGCCTTTTTTTCCCAGTGGTCGTTAAGCAAAGGCGGCAGTCGTAAAGCAAACACTGCGGTCATTAAGCGAACCAAAGTTTGGTTTTGCACAACTTTGCCAGAAACTGGAAGTTGTCAGGTTTTGATAAAATGTGGCCATGTGACTGCGGGACATCGCAAATAGCTATAAATAATAATAATAATAATAATGATAAAGTTGGAAGGGACCTTGGAAGTCATCTAGTCCAACCCCCTGCTCAGGCAGGAAACCCTATACCATTTCGGACAAATGGCTGTCCAGTTTCTTCTTAAAAACTTCCAGTGTTGGAGCATTCACCACTTCTGGAGGCAGGTTGTTCCACTGGTTAATTGTTCTAACTGTCAGGAAGTTTCTCCTTAGTTCTAAGTTGCTTCTCTCCTTGATCAGTTTCCACCCGTTGCTTCTCGTCCTGCCTTCAGGTGCTTTGGAGAATAGCTTGACTCCCTCTTCTTTGTGGCAGCCCCTGAGATATTGGAACACTGCTATCATGTCCCCCCTCGTCCTTCTCTTCGTTAAACTAGAATGAAACTGTGTCTCTGAGTGCCCAAAGTTCAATCACATAACCATGGAGGGAGGCTGACCATCAGAACTTTGAATTCCCTTTTTGGGGGTAAATCATAACTGGAGGGGCTACTTGGATATCGAATCTTGTCTACAAGGATTCCACGATGCTCTTCTTTCCCTTGTTCACCTCCCCTTCTCTATATCTACCTGAAGCAACTACTAAAAAGGTGACGGAGAGGAGCTGAGGAATTGTCGATAAATACCAAGCTCTATTTCAATGGGTTTTACATCTGAGTAAGCCTAAACAAAAGATGTTCTATGTGTGCCAGCATCCTTGGATTTATTTTACAAAGAAAAAAACAGCATCTACAGTTTCGAAAAATAAAGAAATCCTCACTGCACCGTGGTACAGGTAGGCCTCGACGTATGTCCACAATGGAGCCCAATATTTCTGTTGCTAAGTGAGACATTCATTAAGTGAATTTTGCCTCCTGTTAACAACTTTTCTTGGCACAGTTGCTCAGTGGATCACTGCAGTTGTTAAATTAGTAACACGGTTATTAAGTGAATCTGGTTTTCCCCGTTGACTTTGCTTGTCGCAAAAGTTGATCACCTGACCCTGGGACACAGCAACCGTCATAAATATAAGTCGGTTGCCAAGCGTCTGAATTTTGATCCCGTGACCATGAGGATGCCACAGTGGTCATAAGTGTGAAAAACAATCCTAAGTCACTTTTTTCAGTGCCATTGTAACTTCAATCACTAAACAAACTGTTGTAAGTCAAGGACTACCTGCATTCCGAATCTGTCATGTGGAATGCTCCTATTTACAATGCAGATAAACTTCACTTCACAATCACAACTGGGACCAGCAACTACATTACTAAGCGATGCAAGTCATTAAGCGAGACACGTGACTGCAACAGACTTACAACCTCACGTCTGTCTGCCATGGTTGTTATGATTGTTAAGTGAGACACCAAGTGACCACAACTTGCGATTTTACCGCCGGTTTCTTCTTAATCAGCTTTGCTTCTCGGAAGCCAGTTAGGAAGCATGCAAATGGTGATTGTCTGACTATGGGATGCTGCAATGGCCATATATTTCTGCCATTGCAAAGTGCCCAAATCTTGATCATGTAGCTCAGGGATCCCCAACCTTTGCAACTTTAAGACCTGTGGACTTCAGCTCCCAGAATTCCCCAGCCAGCATGGCTGGCTGGGGAATTCTAGGAGTTGAAGTCCACAAGTCTTAAAGTTGCAAAGGTTGGGGACCCCTGATGTAGCTGCAGAAACGGCTGCAATGGTTGCCAGTGCAAGGAGCCGAGTCATAAAATTACACTTTCAGTGTCAAAATGACTTCAAATGGTCACTAACAAGGCAGTCATTATGCGAAGAATACCCGTAGATACATTCACAGTGTGAATTTGAGCAGAACTGGAGCTGAGGATCTTATGGAAGGCAATAAAGCCTCTGGCTCCAACCTTGTCCTTTTCCATTAACTCTTTGGTTAGTAGAGGACTTTCTATCAATTCATTTCACCAAAATTTTCCTGGCCAAACTGGCATCATGTATACAGAGAATTGTCTCTAAAACACTATGTAAACCTTGAGCGTTACAATTAAACCCATCCATAGGAAAGCCAACTTTTTCTTACTTAGGAACTACAACAAGGAGAGTGATGAGATATTCGGAATTCAACACAAAGTCTTCCTTGTTCACTATATCTGTTAATGTTCGGGTCAAAAGATTTCCTCTGGGGGGGGAAAAAAAGGCAGAAAAGATCAGTACAGGATTACCGCACCATTTATACTTTCTAAATGTTAAGTAGATGCTTAATTGGATGACTAGAAAGAAAATGTTTTCAGGGAATTTTTGGACAAACTTAAAGCAAATCCAGCCGTTATACTGTATAGTAAGCTTAGAGGAACTAGGCACTTTTTAAATTTTATTTAAACAGATTAATTAATTAATGCAGATCCACTAAAGAGCTGACTAGAGAGCCAATTTGATGCAATGATTAAGGCCCTAGGCTAGAAATTGGGAGATTGTGAATTTTAGTTCCATCTTAGGCATGAAACCATATTAGGCCAATCACCCTCTCTTAGCCCTAGGAAGCAAGCAATGGCAACTTGCTGACTTGTCCAGACAGTGACTAGAAATCATCAATACTGACCCAAAAGCACCAAAACCCCACTCCCTGATTAAGCCCATATTACTTGTCTGTATTACTATATTCCAGTGCGGCTAACATGTTAAGACATCGTCATAGGAAGTCAGTATCTGTCATGGCCTCCTCGGAGCCAGGGTCTGAGGAGGAGGAGATGGAGATGGGACCGATGGAGGGAGATGGCACTGCCTCTCTGGCCCAGAAGGAACGACCAGAGGAGGTGGACGAAGCAGTCCCGGGTCCCTCGGAAGGGTCACCAGGGAAGAAGAGAGGACGCAGGATGACCGAGCGAGGGGGGAGGAAAGGGCAGGCAGTAGAGCAAAGGAGCGACGGAGCTCCAGAGACGAGCAACTGCCTCCCCCATCCAATCCCTGAGCATGACTACTCAACCCGACTACTCGGAAGGAGGGCGCCCCATCCCTCTTGACAAGGCTTTCCTGAGGAATAGGATTTAAAGAGACGCCGTGGGGAGCAGCTTTTGTCGGGAACAAGCGCTGTATTTTTCTAGCCACACTTGCTGTTACCAACATCTTGCTGCCTTGCCTTGCCTTGCCTTGCCTTGGCCCTGGCCCTGGCCCTGGCCCTGGCCCTGGCCCTGGCCCTTGCTGGACCACAGTGACACAGCTCTGCGACACTCAGTGACCAAGCTTCCTGAACTGTGCTGCTCCCCTGGACTTCTAGCAGCCAGGAACTATTGGAGGGGTTTGTGTGTGTGTGTGTGTGTGTGTGTGTGTTTAGATCTTGCTCTTGGACTTGAAGTGAATGGTGGGAATTTTGAGGGAAAGTTGGAGCAATAAAAGGGAGTTAACCCTTCACTTTGGCTGTGTCGCTTCCGTGCCCAGCCCCGGGTCATAACAGTATCCCAGTGTATACAGAAAACGCAATCCATTAAAACTTATCTAAACACATACATCGTTTTTCTTTCCAGATTCTGAAGATTTCCTTTGATGTTGTTGTAGACAGCTGCTCGGCTTTTCATGTCTGCTTCAATTTGTGTAATTTGCTAAACATAAAAAGGAAATCCAGCTGAGCAATATGAACTCTGCATCCATTTTAAAGTCGAGCGTTTTAATAATTCCATACATGCAAAAGTCTACAAAGAGTATAGATTCTATTGTTAGACTTACCAAAGGGCCAAAACTAAACTTAGTTTCCATTTTAGTTGCAATTTAAATACCTACATCTGTCTTTCTCTCTTAACAACAAGGAGGAAATTGATTTATCCTTGCTCTGTTATGACCTTGAAGAAAATCCTTCCTTGTACCAGGGTGAAACTCCTCATTAAAAGCACACTTGTAATTCAGATTTACAGATACAGAAATAAATGCCTTCCCTCAGCTGAAAACTGCTGTGTGACAGACTTGTGACTGCTTCTAAGACAGACTTAAAATACAGGAGATACTTCTTAGGACGACATAGATATTACATGTTTATTTTTTCTTTTCTTCTCAGACAAGAATGTCTTTGTGGGGAGAAAGATGAGGAAGAAGATATTTTCCATAATGCTAGAATTTGACAGTGTGGGGAAAGGCCCTAGTTTGCCTTCTGATAAATTTCAAAGCAAATCAGTACCCATCATTTCCAGAACTGGGTTCCTAAGGAAGCTGTCCTAAGTAATTAGATGCTTAATTAACTGCATTTTATTATCATTTCCGAGAAACAGCTTTTATAAGGTGCTTCTCAGTATCCGAGAAAGGAGGGAAAATGATGATTACCTTTGCTAATCCTTCTGAAATGTTCTTCAGTGGCTGTTTTATTGGATACTTGGCCATGTCCCATTCAAACTTTGTCAGGTAACTAATCAGGTCAACTGAAACGATTAAAAATAAATCCAGTGAACTGCATGCGTATAAGAATTATTCTGAGAATAAAGTATTCTTTTTGCACGAAAACCTGCATTCAGATTAGCTTGCATTTAGGATATGGCTTGGATAAGGATTGCCATTTTATATTTATTCCCTTTTCTAGATACTAATCCAGATCTGAAGGTCTGCCATGCCAATTGTTTACAATTTAAAAATATTCACCCAGTTAATTTCATGAAGAGGAATATATTCATCTTAGTTCTCATCTTGTCAATACAGTTAGCAAATAAGAGAATAAAGATTGTGATTAAAAGTAATAGTTAGGTTTAATTTTAGGGCAGGGTTAGAGAATCCATGGCCCACACAATGTGTCACGGAACTAAAATGCTTCACAGCTAACAAGCAGCAAGAACTGGAGTCCCGAAAGATATAGTTCATATTGGCTGGGGAACCATAAAAACCCCTAACTTTTTTTATATATTTAAAAAAAACTGCTTTTGCAGTTTTAGTTCTCTCCTTTTTGTGGCTGGCCTTTTAAGTCACTTTGGTCTAGTGCAGGGATAGGCAACCTTGGCTCTTTTATGACTCGTGGACTTCAATTCTCAGAATTCTGGGAATTGAAGTCCATGAGTCATAAAAGAGCCAAGGTTGCCTACCCCTGGTCTAGTGGTTAAGGCACCATGCTAGAAACCAGGAGATTGGGAGTTCTAGTCCCGCCTTAGGCCTGAAAAATCAGCTGGGTGACTTGAAGTCAATTGCTCTCCCTCAGCCGAACCCATGTCACAGGATTGTTGTTGTGGAGGAAATAAGAGGAAGAAGATATGTTGGATATGCTCACTGCCTTGAGTTATTTGTAAAAATAATAAAGGCAGGATACAAACAAACATATAAAATCTTTATATTGGAAGGGGACTGCTTTCTTTTGTAAACTTATTATCAGATTTGGGGGTTATTTCCAGAGGGATAAAAAAAATAACACGTGCAGAGACTATCTAACATACTCAGAGTGTGCAAAATCTCACGTAAATTTCACTTGTGTCAAAAAATCTACCAACCTACATTACTCTGCGTGAACATAAAAGCTGCTTGAAATGAGATATCCGCATATTTTCCTGTTCGTTAAAGGAGAAAAGTGCTTGACTTTGCTATAGCTCTTCAGTGGAGATGGAGCTTTTTAAATGTTAATTGGATTAGTATTTCAATAAGGACCAAATTTATGACTATTAACGGGTGCATAAAGGGCATTTTGCTAGGCAGTGGGAGAAACCAGAACTAAAGGAATGCATGAAGGGTTGGATCCTGAATTGTATGCTTTAATGCTGAGATCCCCACTGCAGTCCTTCTTGTACCATCCAAAAGCTTTCAAGTGACCTTTGCTATGATATCAAAAGTAGCGTGGAGATAAAGCAGGGGAGCAGAAATGATCAAGGGGGGGGACCTAATGCGGGGCAAGGTACTTTTTTAAAGCCATGTTTTAAATAATACATGTGTGCAGGAACAAACAAACACACACAAACATCTGGAGCTGAAAAAAACAGAAGAACATTCAAGGATGCTTCTAGACACCCCAGCAACTTTGTGTAGTTTTTAATGAGGTCTTAATAACACACATAAAAAGGAATTCTTAAATGAAATCTTCTTCACTTGAGGCCCCTTTGTTGGGAGAGAATATGTGTGCAAGAAACATATGGGACTCAACACTCACAATGCAAATCCAGATGCTCTAAAGAAATAAATGATTGACTGGCATGTAAGCAGGTGTGGTGACCTCTGCCTTAGTGGACAGTGTGTCTCTTTCAAATGCCTACAGCAATCCCCTTCCTTTGGGGTATCAGACTGGCTCCCTCTTGGTATCTCAAGAGTGTTGCTCTCTAGAGTGTTGCTTCTCCTAGAAAGAGTCACCTTACCTTCTCATATTTCCTGGGTGTGGAAAATCTAATGCGCACAGCAAGAATTTAGGACTTGGAGACCTGAAATCAACAGGCTTCATCTTCTATAAAATATGTATGAGACAGCTCAATAGGGACATTCAAGAAGCAAATGGACTCCTTCCAAAATTTTTTGTAAAATTCCTAAGTGCACCCTAAGTGCGCATGGTGCTAACTAACTGGCCCTTTCCTTTCCCTTCAACTGGGGGTGTCCATCCTTGGCAATTTTAAGACTTGTAGACTTCAATTCCCAGAATTCCCCAGCCAGAATTCCTGGCTGAGGAATTCTGGGAGTTGAAGTCCACAGGTCTTAAAGTTGCCAAGATTTGATACTCCTGCCTTAAGCCTTTCTGTCTCCTTCCTGAAAAGAAAGGAAATGGATTTTAAACAGAAATATTCCACCGTGCCGCACTTTATTGTAGTTCTCACATATTCTTCTGTACTCATTTCTTTTGAATAAACCCTGAATGCAAATAATCCATTACAGAACTATAACTTGTTGTGCACAGAGAGTGCTTTGCTCACAAGGCCTGCCCCATTCATTTCAACAGAACTCTCTGAGGTGAGTTAGGCTGAGAGAGAGTGACTGGACCAAGGTCACTCAGCTGGCTTTCGTGACTAAGGCAGGATTGGAACTCATGGTCTCCCTTATATTATGGATTAAAATATATAAGTTGGTTTAGTGTTGTTGTTGTTGTTTGAAAAAGCACTAGTCCTATATTGCAGAGAAGGAGTCAGGTTCTGCCAACAATGTGCTCTTATGGTCTGTCACCAGTAGGTGCATTAAAAGCTTTCCAATGCTGCTGCTGACAAGAATTATTATCCCCACTGGGCAATGCTCCCAGATCACTTTGTGTAGCTTCACTTCTTGTGACCCTTTGCACACCACATCACAGATACATATATCCCCCTTGGTAGGAGAGGAAAGGATAGTTTGTCCCCTCTATTTTGGCTTTGACAGCAGTAGGTGCCATAATGATATCTGTTGTGATTATGTGTAGACCATCCAGAATTGTGTGATTCAGGAGGTCAGTTTGCTACACACATGTTCTGCATGGTTTTCTTTAGGTTATTGCCAGATGCTTAAAATGGAAAGTCACTTACTGACAGCATCAGAGCTCCTTTCTGTTTCACCTGTTGCTTGTCTTCCACACTTGTGGATCCAAGATACCTTGGAACACGGGTTTAGCACTTTTTCAGGACACCCTACACATGTTCAGAAATGATCTGACTGACAAATTCAAGTGATCCAAGGAGCTTTGGCAGTGGTCCCTTCCACTTCTTCCCATGTCCCGATCCCCATGTCCATATTCCCCAGCTTATGACCATTTGTTTAATAAGAGTCCAGAAGTACAATGGCCTTGGAAATAGTGCTTTACGGTCCATAAAGCACTTCCAACCATCACAAAATGTTGCACCATCATCCCCACAGTGACATGATCATGATCTGGGTGCTTGGCAATCTGTCTGCACTTACAACAGTTGCCAAGCGCCTGCAACCATGTGATCACCATTTGAAGTCTGCTCTATTGGCTTCCCCAGAAAGTCACTGAGGAAGCTGGCAGGGAAGGTTGCAAGCTGTTGCTGCCGCCTGCCGAGAGAACACCTTTTCACCTCTGGGGGTGGCTGAAAGAACTGCCTGCCAAGGGGAGCTGAACTCCTTCAGCAGAGTGCAGAAATGGCGCTGAAATCCTTAAGATTTCATCTTTTCCTGCGTCCCACTGAAGGAGTTTCCTTCTGTGCATGGAGGGAAGCTAAAATCCTCCAGCAGGCAGCTCTTTCAGCGAGCTTCCAGAGACAAGGGGAGCTGAAATCCAAGCAGAGCAGAGAGAGGCTGTATGGTAGAGTAATGAGCATGGACTTCCTCAGGCAGGTGCAGAGAGGTGGGTTGGGAGGCCTGGCCCAGGTTGTGTGTGGAGTGTCTCTTTGTTCAAGGGCTGAAAAAACCTATTTGGAGTTTAGCAAAGAGGATTTTCAGCTCCTGAGTGGAGAGGCAGAGCAATAACGAAATGAGCCTATGATGTCTCAGGGGATGAGGGAGGCCCTGGGAGACACACAAATTTGTTTAATGACTGCAACTGCAAATGCCAGGATTGCATCCATTAAGCAAAGCAATCATGTGGGCATCTTGCTTAATGAGCACTTCACTCAACAACTGAGATTTTGGTCCCAGTTGTGGTCATAAGTTGAGGACTAAGTGTAAGTCAGGCAACTTCATAGTGGGCTAATCTGCCATTCTAACCAATCATCTAATTCACCCATCCCCACTCCCCACCCATGAGGGAAATAGATTGGTGACTGTTTCCTAATCAGCAACCATAACTTGGTGGACAGAAAATGAAACAAGGGGAATCACCACTTCCTTTCCTTAAAATGGCTACGATAGCTACATAAGGAAAGTACGATGAGCCAGCGAGAATGTAGACTGGCAAAGGGACAGCATTGCTAATGCCAACATCGGGTGTGTTGGGAATTTGTTTTTTGTTTTCCCCTTTAAGGACTAATGAACAGCCCCCACCTGTGAGGAAGAGCCCTGGGTATACTAGACACGGGCTGCAAAATCTAAATAACCACTAGGTGGTAGCAGCAAGCTATATTTGCTGCCACTAAACCCTCATCTGAATTTTTACAGCTTAGATCCAGTGGCCCCAACTGATCTACTGGGTAAAAACTACAGTAATTTGTTTTGCACGCTTAAGAACACTGATGATACAATTGATCATAAGAAAACAGATGCATGCAAAAAAGTTTCACACACTCCAGTAGTCACTACAGTTCCTTTCACTATACATGCAGAGTAAGTTAAAAAGAAAGAAAAAGACTGAGGGAAAGGAAAAATCAACAGTAATCTAGGATGCAAACCTGCAGTAATCTGAGTCATAGGGAGATGGTGATCAAGCTACGGGGTTGTTACTAGAGAAATCCATCGTAACCTGATCACTGTACCCCTACAACCAGATGTGGGCTCGACTCTTATTATTAAACACACTAGTGCATGCTGGCCAAGACACATTGCCACCCAAACACAACATACCCTTTAGACATTTCATTTTGTCCTTTGTGCCTGAAATATAGTAAGTGCAATTATTGATCTTCAAAAATACCCGACTTAAAAAGTAAAGTTATCACTTGGCATCCTTATTCTGCAAGATGTTTGCCAAAGAACAGAATTCCATTCTGGTCTTATGGTATCAGCAGTCATTTCAACACTTCATTAAAGGTAATTTTCAGTAGACTGCACAAAAACATCTGTATGTAGGTATGAACTAAAGCTGAATTTGGAGCAATTCATGTCCCACTTTAGCCTGTGAAAGGCTGTCAGTTGCAATGTTCCTGAGATATTGCAGTTTAAAATGTCATTTTAGCCTGAGTTGATTTTCTTCTTCTTATCTGTTATAGTTACTTTTCCTTGTGCTAAGTCAGTGGTTCTCAACCTGTGGGTCGGGACCCCATTTGGGGTCGATCGACCATTTCACGGGGGTCGCCAAGCAAGGCTGTCCACCATTTTTTTTGTCCGCCATTTTTTTGTCCGCCATTTTTTTCCCCTTTTCTGGCGGGTGCCTTACCTCCCTTGGGCTGGGCCAGCTGGTGGTCGGCCTGCTCCGTCTCTGCCGCTTGCCAGCTACGCCTCGGCCGGCGCAGGGGGCGGAACCATGCATGCACGGCGCTCACTGGCAGGGAAAGTCCTCGACTTACGACTGGTTGGGTAGTCCTCGACTTACGACCGGTTTAGTCCTCTACTTACGACCGGTTTAGTCCTCGACATACGACCGGTTTAGTCCTCGACTTACGACTGGTTGGGGTCGCGGCATTAAAAAGGTTGAGAACCACTGTGCTAAGTGTTTCACTGCTGACTGCCATTAGAAACAATTAAATACTTTGTGATCTGTAGAATAAATCTGTATGGAATTGTAAAAGTAATAGTCATCTCTCTGGGAATCTGGACTCCTTGTAAGACAATCATATTTTTAATCGTATATACATTGAAGAAAAAGCATTGTTCTCTAAAACTAGAAGCACCATCTAATTTTCTAATAAATGAGCATATTAATTCCAGCAATTCTTTCTGGAAACTGAGTGAAAACAACAAACAACATCCAAACTCAACAATATATCCATGATTTTAAGGCCTACCTCCATTGGCCAGTAGATTTTCCTGTACTTTGTCTTTGGAATCTTCTAAAACTTCTCCAATATACTGGGCAATTTTCTTTATTACACTTCATACAAGAACAAAACAGTGACATTTTAGTTCAATTTAATTTGAGAACCATGAAATAACTTACAGCTAGATAGTAAAAAAAAAAAATCATTTTCATAGTCCCTAAAGTGAGAACCAATGTGTAGGCAGAAATGAGCAAACGACAAATCAAAATCAGTGATGGATTAACAGGGAGTTTCAATAACAACAAAGGAAATTGCCTTTTTTTTAAAAAAAAGTGTGTGTTGGGTATTGTACAAAATACCTGTTGAGTTTTGGTACTAAAAATAAGAAGATACTCTTTTTTTTCATTCTTAGTGCATGACTTCTTGTTGTTTTGTCCCCAACTCTGATGGATGGGACTAATAATTCAGTCCTAGTAAGTTCTGTATGTTACAAAGTCTGTTTCCCAACTGCTATCGTTGTCAAGAAAATAAGGTGTGGCTTGTTCGTAAGGTGACCAACCATCCTCCTTTAGGAAGGACAGTCCTCCTTTTGTAAGTTCTGTCCTCCCTCGAAAAGTGTCCTCCTACATGTCCTCCTTTTCGATATTTGAAGACTAATCTGCAGGGCTTTTTTTTTTTTCTCATAGAACGCTCAGAACGGCATTCCAGCACCTTTTTTTGATGTTTTTTTTTTCAACTTTTGCATGAGCTGTGCTACTCCCCCTATTGGTTTTCGAAAGCCAATAGGAATTGCTGCTGAGCGTGCCAAATTGCTGCTGAGCGTGGCCGGCAAACTTTGCACATGCAAGTTGTCTGCAGCGAAGGCAAATTGGTAGGAACTTTGCACCCCTCCCTGCTACCCAACTACACCATCTCCTAGTTAGTCCCGAAGATACCTGGAGGAGACTGAAGTGGCGACACCACGGTAAGTTTCTCTTGATCTTCGGCCCTGCTAGGGCAATAATAGCTGCGGGCGCAAGAGGCAGGGGTGGCGGGGCTGCTGCGGGCAGGGGTGTGAGGGGCGGTGGTGGCCGGCTGCCCCCCATGCTGTGGGAGCCACGGGGCCTGCTCTACACGGGGCTGTGCAGGGTGGGTGGTGGTGCTGGCGGGGCGGCTGCAGGCAGGGTGTGTTGACGGCGGGCTGCCCCCCGGGGCCGGAGCCGGCGTAGCTGGTGCTTTGGGAGCTGCGGGGCCCACTCTGCATTTATCATATTATAGTGTATTCTGTATTATTATTGCAATGAATGTTTCTTTTATGTACGATATTTTTTTTCTTCAATTTATTTGTGTCCTCCTTTTCATTGTAAAAAAGTTGGTCACTTTATTGTTCGGGAAGAGGAAAAAGCACACCTGGAATCAGAGTGTGTATATATGTAATTTGCTTTAAACTGTAGCCTACAAGCAACCCTGAATGGAGGAAGCTTTTTTGAAGCCCATGGGATCCACAGATGCTCCTTTCTTTCGGGTGTGCATTTGTGCATGTAATGGAACACTGATGTAGCAGAATTGGAAAAGTCCAAAAGCGCTTCCTCCAGAATAAACATATTTAGAAATGGACATTAACTTGCTTTTTAAGTATTAAGTCTCCACCCAAATTTCCCAGGATTCTCATCTTTATTCTATACCATTTTAACTTTGGTGAGCATTTATAAATAGGTTTGCAAGGAGAGCGGGCCATCCGAGATGGAAACAGCTCAAGAACGGATGGGCAGAGAGATCAGAATGCCACGGGCTGCTTCAAAGTGACATGGAAAAATACTCGGCCTCCTTGTGTAAATAAGTAATAAAACTGCAGGGAAACAAGAGACCCTGAAAACTCTTGCCCCTTCCCTGCCACGCTGGTCAGAAGCAGCACCGGCTGGTTTCTGCTGCCTAGCTAGATGTACCAGCATTTCCTCCATATGTTGATCTAATAACAGTTCCACTAACAACCTGCTTCTCTGCAAACTATAATATAAATGCTGAGTTCATTGGCATAGCTTCAGAGCAATTCCTCTTTGTCCATGGACTTCAGCATCTGTTGCCTTCATTTTTATAACACCCTAGTCTCACACACAAGTCAGTTCTTTCATCAGATGAGCTTTCCTGTCAGACTTTCGGCTTCTTCTATAAAATGATGCAGTTAATACAAATGTGGGTTGAATTCTCATGGCAAAAATCTTGCCATTATGAGGCATCTCTGCAGCTGCCCCTGCCCTTTGGAAAATCTTGCCCCCCCCATTCTTCTGGTTTTCCAGAAATGAGTTAAGAAGTGGGTCTTCCAATTAGCATGGGGGTCTAAGAGTATGACACAACCCTGGGGATGGCTGGTGGCTGGAGGGCACTCCTGTTGCCTCGTTAACCTTTGCAGCCTTCTGAATTTTTAACTTTAATTTTTTTTTAATTTAAAAAATATTTATCTTTTCCCTTTTAACTTGTAAGCTTTAACTTGTTGTTAATTCTGTTTTTAGCTCTGCTTTTATTCAGGTGTTTATATTGTTTTATTATGCTATTTTAAACCACCCAGGGTTACTTAGGGGAGATGGGTAATGCAGAAATTTAATTAATAATAAATAAATGAAAATGAAAATCTACATGGGGCAAGAGATTAAATGTGCATCAGTGTGGCAACCCATTTCTTGTCATTTTGGCATCACCATAATTAGGAATGGATGTCTACACACAGAGCAAAGTTGAATTCTTGGTGACCATAAGAGTACCGGTATTAGGAACCTAGTCAGAAAACAGATGAATTCTGAGAAAGAATGTTCCACTGAGGAGAAGCAAATCTATTTCTTAATAACAGGCCCATATGTTCTGCATTTTTTTTTTAAAAAATCCCAACCGCTCAATAAAATACACAACTTCATACTTCTAACCTTTCATACAGATGTAAGGACTAAGAAGAAAAGGGGAAAGACTCAAAGGTGCTTTTTCAAAACGTAACTGGACTATGTTTTTTTTTTCTCTTGAGGAAGAAGATATTTCACTTTTCATCCAAGAAACTTCATCAGTTCAGGCTGGATTGTGTGTGTGTGTGTGTGTGTGTGTGTGTGTGTGTGTGAGAGAGAGAGAGAGAGAGAGAGAGAGAGAGAGAGAGAGAGAGAGAGAGAGAGAGAGAGAGAGAGAGAGAGAGAGAAATGGAAGGATTAGGATTAATCCTTCCATCCCCCCACCACTATCCAGCCAGAACTGATGAAGCTTCTTGGATGAGAAGCAAAACGTCTTTTTCCTCAAGGGGAAAAAAAACAACATAATCCAGTTGACTTGAAAAAGCACCTTTGAGACAACCATGACCTGGATGACTGAGAATCTCCATAGACAAAAGGGGGAAGAAAATTGGAAAGTGGGCATTCAGAAAAAGAAATGAGAGAACGTAGGGTTTCTTATCTGCCTTGCCCATTTGACTCTGCTTTTCATTTTAAAAAGGGAAAAGGACCCTTCCCCCCCACCCAAAAAAAACCAACTTTTGTTCTAGGCTGCCAAATCTCACTATAGTGTTTCAAATATATATTTCATTTTCATCCCTATATTTTCTTTCCCAGATTCTGTGCTAATGCATCTTAGTAGTCCTATGTCTCTTAGTGGTGGTTATTACCAGTGTTATTACTGAACACTGAAGACTTGGGAGGGGGGCAGATTTAGCTATAGATGGACATTTTTGCCAAATAAAACTGAATAGAGCTATTTCGATATTCTTAAAAGCATCCATAGTGCTTCTGCAAAAAAAATGCTATTTCCCCCACATTTCCCATTACCATGAGCTCCTGGTTCATATCTGTAATGGCTCCTCAGAATAATTGTATAGAATAGAATGATGAAGAGGGCAGGGACCATTTTTCACAGGGACTTTGCTGATTACTTGGGGCGAAGGCTGTGTCCCTAGATCCAAACATATTGGATTCAAAATAAAAGACAGGAGTTTAGACCCAATTCTTCTTTAAACAGAATAAAACCAAACCTGCCTGATCTGGCTGACTTCTAAGGCCAAGCTTAAACAAGTCAGAGTTGGGTTCAGGCAGGAACCCTGTGACCTGGAGAAACAACATGCATTTGTCTTTGTGTGCAGTAAATAAGTTCTATTTTACCTTTCAGCAAAACTATCGAGTTTTCCCAACTCATCTGAGAGGCCAACCAGCGTGTCCAGAGTTCCTACCTGTGGAAGGGAACACAAATACTTTAACATAAACAGAAGAGCTGCACGACTGTTTTGCCAGAATGATCTTTTTTATTATTTTTGGCATGGATGTCCTTTTGTGTAATCAAAGTATTAAGGACACTTGGAGGAAGCCAAAGTCAATCAGAATATTTTCTCTCAATAGAAAATGACTGAAATGCCTCTTCTTCTATTCTACAGAAGGAAAAACTGCATATCATCATGTGATTATAAACCCACTTCTACAAGACTTCTTCCCTATTTTTATTATTGGTGTTCCTCAACAGCTTTATTACTCACAGTATATTGTATATGCAATCATAAGGCACTGAACAGAACATATATTTTCCTCACAAACTTCAGTAGGAAGAAACATTTCTTCTTTAAAATGAGAGAGCCTTACCTTATTTATATATAATGTGAGCAGAAAGCAGTTGCAGTAAATAAATTCATTGCATCTCTTCTTGAAATTATTACACTTTAAGATACCAACAGTATCTTACCAATAGTGAAGATGATTTTTCAGATACCAGCCAGCACTTCTATCATAGTCATATTATTAATCCCTGTATTATTTTTTTTACCTCTAGTACTCTAACCAAAATAAGCTAACTTGTTAGTGCAGGATGTTATTGAAGAAGTAATTTAATAAGTTGAAGTTCTGTCAATTAAATTATGATAAAGTCTACACAGCATGAATATTGAAATAACTAAGACCTATTTTGAATAGACATGCTAACAGCATTGGTACAAATTATGATTTTTTAATCAGTTATGGTAAAATATGACACAATGACATTGTGTGCATTTTATAATTCCCACTCACCCCCTTTTCTTTATAGACACCCGTTAAAATGTGATGAATCTCCATTCAAATGAAATGTATGGTTCCTTAGGACTAAGTCTCATTGAATTCATTCGGATTTAGTTTATTAATGCTACAATTGCATATACATTTATTTGTGAGTAAATCTGACTTAATTTGTCTCTGTATAAGACTTCTATGGCAGAGTTGCCCTTTGATTAATTGGAATCGTGACCATTAAGGATGCTCATAGATTGTCTAAAGTTCTTTGAGATTTTCTGCAAACGACAGGCTTGAGTAAAACCAAATTAAACCTCCAGATTTTTCTGCTAGTAATTAACCCACTGATTGATAATAATGGCGCATAGAATTCAAGCACTTCAGAAAGCTACAGAATGAAAGATAATATTCAGACTAATCCCACTCTACTAAAAAAGAAGAAGAAATATGCTTGATCCCAGCCCTGTTCTTGTCTTGCTGTTCCTTCTTCCCCCTCCCTTTCTAACTTTTCATCCACCTTTTACCTTGAGGTCAGGGATGGCGAACTTGCTGTTGCTGGATAGGTTGGCTTTCGAAGTCACGGTGTTCATTCTGTCCCAGGCAAGCAAATTTGTCTTATCCCCTGGAGCTGAGATTAGCCAAAACTCTGACATGGTAGAAAAGGATCCCCGAGTAAAAATCACTACAACTAAAGAAGGGGGGGGGACAAAAACACAAAAATAGATCAGCTAAACCTTTACATCCATTTAAAAAAATAAATAAAAAGGTATTGGTATTTCAGTCCATACAGGGAAACTTCTATCACCTTTCAATTCAAATCTAAAATTAAATGTGACCTTCTCTTCAAAGTCACCAACAGGCAAGTAGTTCCTTTTTTTTTCTTCCCCTCCCTGCCTGGATTGTTTCATCTGGTTAGTAGGGAGGAGTTTTTAATTGCAAGGGTGCTGGAACATGGAACAATTCACAATTATTTGCAGAAGTAATAGGCTGATCTGTTCATAATTCCAATGCAAGAAACATTATCTGAGAAGAAATGTTAAGGCATTTTTTTTTCAAACTTGGCAACTTTAAGATGTCTGGACCTCATCTCCCAGAATTCCCCAGCTAGCATGTTAGAATATATATTCTAGAAGTTTTTGTCCTTCATCTTTATACTAGAAATATCAAAACAAATAACAAAAATTAACTTCATTGTAAAAATCTAAATGACAGGCAGTTAATATATATTTGTTGCCGTATTGGCTTGGCCATGATGTAGATTTTTTTTTTTTTAAATCTACTTCTGTTCAGAAATATCAGAACAATGAAATGTATATATAAAATTACTAAGGCATTATGAGAAATAGTGCAGAGGAAGTAGTTTTCTTCTTCTGCATTTCATATATGAGCATCTATGATAATTTTATCAGTTTTAAAAAAGATAAAAGATTATCTACATTGAGCTTGACTCGTTATTAGATGGATACATCCCGGGCTTTTTTTTCTCATAGAACGCCCAGAACGGAGTTCCGGCACCTTTTTTGGATGGAACCTTGTAGGGTAGGCAAGGCGGGTTGTATGACGTGTGTGAGTTCCCGCACCTTTTTTTTTTTTTTTTTTTTTACAAAAAAAGCACTGGATACATCTATGTTCATAGTAAAGTGTTTGCCACAGCTGTCTTTTGGGAAACTTTCAGTTTTCCAACCTAGCCTTCAGCCCTGGGATTTCCTAGTGGTCTCCTATCTTTTCCTTCATCAGTTCCCTCCCTGCTTAGCTTTTTCAGAGAAAGCCAGGTTAGTTAGAGGCTGCCATCTGCAGAAACTGCCCACTATCATTAGGAACAAATGAGTGTGGTTGATCCTATGTAGCCATCTTTTAAGCCAGAAAGATCATTCAAAAATGGAAAGCATAATGAAACGGAAGGGGAAACGGTTGGCTATAGCTTTAATAGTTGTAAAAAGGGATCATAATCAACGTTCTTCAATTCTCCCTTCATCATTTAATCTTTAATTTATCTAGTAGTGGGTCTTCGAATATTGATTCCACAGGCAAAACTGACCCCTTTCTCAAATGGCCTGGGATGGATCCATGCCTTTTGCCTCTCAAACACAAAACAACCAAAAGCATCCTAAAAATATCACAAAGTAGGCTTGCTTTCAGTTTTATTGGGATAACTTACGTCTACTTGGATGTTGAAAGGAGCTCACAACGGCTGGGCGAAAATGCCTTTCCCATCCCTCCTAACTGCTTTTAGAAACAGAAGGGACGTAAACGGCCAAGCTCAACGACTAACAAATAGCGCATTCTATTCCCAAGACGCAGCGCCGAGATCCGAGTGGAATAAAATGGACCGAGTAGTAGAAAACTCCCCCGAGGCCGATCCGATCCCATCCCATCCCATCATTTCGCTTTAAGTGTTTCGGGTCTCTTTTCGAAGCCAGCGACGTAGCGCGCCCCCCCCCCCCAGCCGAAGCTTCGCAGCAGCGCAGCAACCGGCCTCTCCAAGGAGACGGCGAGAAAACTTTCCCACCGCTTTACTTACCCCACGTCCTCGGGAGACACGACAGGTGCTCCTCACCGTGTAGCGGCGGCCCCTTCCATTGCCGGCAGCAGGCGCAGCTCCGAGAGACGCCGGAGGGGGAGGAATGGACTTTGCAGGGCGCGGAGCCACCCGCACCTGAACCGCCACCGGCTGCGGCTTCGCCTTTTGCAGGAGGGAGGAGAGGCCCATCCCGCCGCTTTCCTCCGGCCAGTGGCGCTTGCCGAAGCTCCTCCTTGGCCTCCCCCGTCCAGCCTTTGCGTGGTTCAGATCTCGAGGTGCCTGCCAGGGATGGACGGTTCCTCAGGGGAGGTCCCGTCCTCCGTCAGACGATGGAGGCGCGCACACACCCAGACGGGGAAGCTTTAGAACTTTTTCCAGGGCTGGCCCTTCCTTCCTTCCTTCCTTCTTTCCTTCCTTCTTTCTTTCCTTCCTTCCTTCCATCACTGCCAGTCTCAGAGGTGCCACCAAGTCGTTTTGGTATATGGCTGAGATTGGTTGCTTCTTGTGAATTTTCGAAAGATCTGAGGCGTATATGAAGTAATAACCTGGATTTTTCTAAATTGCACCTAAAAAATAAGCATTGGACTAAGTCCTATCTATCTTTCTGTAACCATGGTTCTCTGTCTTTGAAAACAGATAGAGATAATAATAATAATAATAATAATAATAATAATAATAATAATAATAATAATAATAATAATAATAATAATANAATGGTTTCCCTTCTGAAGCAAATTTGCTTTGCTTACTCTGTCTAGCTGATAATTGAAACTGTATCATATGATCTGAATTACAGTCCATTTTAAAATGAGGCCTGGATACATTTATTACTTTTTAAAGCAGCACAAGATTTTAATAGGGAGAAAGGATATCATTTATCTCTAGACAGCAGCCAGCAATTTGTTTAATTGAATTCCTGTTTTGATTTCGGTTTGTAAGCCACTCCATTTCCAAAGATTCTCAGCAGTTTACCACACTGGCACAAGGTGGATTGAAATTAATATCAGGGTTAATGCTTATAATAAGAGTGCACCCAACTCAGAGGGCCACCATTTGAGGGGACCAAGGTCTTCTTATCTCTGAATGCCTTCCTGACTTTGGAAATTTAAAATAGAGAGAATGGCCTAATTGTCTGGGAAGGGGTATCACTGCATTCCATTGAATATGGGATTATACAATTATAAAATCCATATTATGATATAGATGATGGAGTTCAGTCGTATCCACTTCCACTCTGAAGAAGTGAGCAGCATGGCTAGTGAAACAGCAATGCGTATTCATTGTTTTACAAGGCATTTCCTAGAAATTATCTCCTCAATGCTGAAATATTAGGGCTCTCTCCTGGTTCCTTGGAAAGAGAGAGTTATTGAATCTTGATTTCTGGTTGCAGTGGGTCAACATTTCCAGCACAGGTAGAAAAGGAAAATAATTGGCCTATGTCCCAGCCTCCAAGACTTTTGTTGTTACACAGAGAAACAGGACTTTAACATTACAAATATGTGTGTGTGTGTGTGTGTGTGCATGTGTGTGTGTGCGCGCGCACATATGTATATGCCTCTGCTATCTAGAAATCCTGTTGAATTCAAAAGGTCCTGCAATATACTAAGGAAGGGTGAAGGGAGGAGTCTGCTGTAGGAAAAATGAGAATTACTTCATCACATTCAGCACATGATCCAATGGTGTTTTGAAAGAAACAACTTTAAAAGGCAACCTGTACATGTCAAAATACATATATGATGATAAAGTTGTTTTGGCATTAACATTTTAATTCTATAACAATGGTGTCAAATGAACTATTACTCAGTCAAAGAGAGAGAATTTAACCTATATTTAGATATAGTGCCATCAATTTCAGTAGATTTTTAAAAGTAAGGAAGCCTCAAATTAAGTTAATCTCTCTCTCTCCCTCCCTCCCTCCCTCCCTCTGTGTGTGTGTGTGTGTGGGAAAGGTTTTTCAGAAGTGGCTTGCCATTACCTGCTTCCTAGAACTGAGAGAAAAGAACTGGCCTAAGGTCCCTCAACTGGCTTTGTGCCTAAGGTGGGACTAGATGAACAAATTCATATAGGTATATTTAGCAATGTTATAGAAGTGTTTTGTCATTACTTTCTTCAGATCATTATTTGTGTGCCAATATAGTCTCCATAGTGCTGTTATTATCATAAATTATTGCACAGAATCAATTGATTTTGGTTTTAAAAAATCCATAAGATGCAATCTATCAGCATATAATAAGAGTTAGCTGTCACTGTTGTACCTGAAATGCCTAATTTATTATTTTATTTGTGTAATTTGGATCACATTAAAAATAAGAGGTCATCTTCACATCATATGATTGTCCCCTCACAAAATAAGATTCTGTGAGGGGAAAAACATATAATTCCAGTTGTAAAACTCCAAGAAAAAAGAGCAGAATATCATATATTGATCTAAGTAATAAAAAAGAGGAAATCCACATTTAAGTAAAATTTATTTCAGAAATTTTTGATCAAAGGATTTTGCACACCCAGTGATTTGCACAACACTGATTTCAATTTTTGTGAATGTATATTCATCCCAAATAATAATCTATGACCAAAGGGTTGGTGACCATTTACAAAAGCAGATAGTGATTTTTTAAAAAAATAAAGACTGTATATACTATTCTGATCTAATGACTCTGCATGGATAATCTACTTGGAAATAATGTCTGTATGCTGTTTGCCAGTTTTGATATCAATATTTTTGTGTTGATGTGCTGACTTCATGCCCAGACTAGCAATAAATCTACAGACACTTCACCTCATATTTCTGCAATTTGATTATAAACAGGAACTTCAGATGATATGACTAGATGTTTTCTTGCAGAAAAATCAGAAATCATAGATGATTTGACTATTGCTGTATACAAAATCATCTGTCTATATGTTTCATCCAATATTTAAATTTTAGGTCATTTCTTCAACCTTTCAATTCAAGTGAAATTTGGATGTTCTTTTTGTGACTTTGATGCTGGGAGACATTTGTTTAATAAAGATTCAGTCTAGCCTGAAAACCAGTGGTTCCCAGTTTACCAATTTCAGTTCTTACACAAAATATTTAGTAATCAATTTCACTATTTATTTCAACCAGGGATTAGGCTTGTTTTGATACTTAGACGTACAGTAGTTGTTGTCCTGCAGAATGACTTTTGCCTAGAATACAGCCTTGTTGATTTGTCTGGATATTTCAGTTTATTGCAATGTAATTTTTGTGTGGTTGCCTTTAAGATGCTCTAGAATATTCATTTATTGTATTTATATTAGAAAAGAACACAAACATACATTATGATGACCCACTTCTAAAATAAAGAATAGACAAAAATAATCTATTTAAATGGAGACAAAGATCCTCTCTAGGGCTAGCTCCCAATATTATGAACTTAGATATAGTAACAACAGTTAAAACATTAGTTAAAATCAGTTTTTAGCTGATATTAGTATATCTAAATTCATAATGTGAACAGTTATTTCTTCAAGTAAACATACAAATGAGACACACTTGCACATCATGTATGTGTATGTGCCCATATGCCACTCACAAACTCTACATTAAAAGAAAGAAGAAAAAAAATAATTGAATAAGTACTGATCAACATTAACTGCTTAAAATCAATCCCCCAGATATATATCCTAACTATTCTTTCATATATGAAATATATTCACGGAGAAATATACATACTCATTGCAGCAAGGGAACTGATTGTAATAGGATGTTACCAACATAATTGGCCAGTTTAATATGATTTTTCACTGGTTCTATTTGATTTCTGGTCACAATTCTAGTGCTGATTTTAACTCATCAAGCTCTTTGTAGCTTGGGATCACAGTACCTGGGGGGGGAGGAGACACCTCTTTGTACTTCTGTGTGCACCCTAATTTCATTTCAGTTTTGCTCTGGGAACTCTCTGGTGTTGAAGATGGCAGCGGAAGGGCTGTTTCAATGGTAGCCCCTCTTATTCCAGAATGGCTTTCCAGAAAGATATGCCTAGCAGCTAGCAAAGATGGTTACAGTATATTCTTCCAAGGCTTTTAATATATTTCTGCTAATTTCAAAGGTACGTTCTTGACTTACAACCATTTGTTTATTGATCGTTTGAAGTTACAACAGCAGAGAAAAGAGATTTATGAATGGTTTTCACACAAACCAACATTGCAGCCTCCTCATGTTCACATGATCAAAATTCAAGCACTTGGCAACCGGTATGTATTTATGACAGATGCATTGTCCTGGGGTCATGTGATCCCATTTGTAACCTTCCCAGCCGGCTTCTAACAAGCAAAGTCAATAGAGGAAGTCAGATTTGCTTAATGACCACAAAATTCATTTAACAACTGCAGTGATTCACTTAACAACTGTGGTGATTAGCAACAGACATTTTGGGCTCAATTATGGTCAAAAGCTGAGAACTGACTTTGTATGCTACCTACAAATTTTACAAAACTACTTACAAAATTACCCTGGTTGCTGCTATTATTGTCTATTGTAGAAGTTTGTTTGATTACCATTGTAAAAGCAGACTTCAAATCTGTCATTTGCAGTTGGCTAGTCCAAAGGACAGATGAAGACTCAAGAGTTAAACATCCACCTTTTTTCTCAGACACAGAGTTTCACATCTTTAAAAAAGGTAGTTTTACCCCAGTACCTCTGGGGAAATTTGAGAAACAAATGGTGTGATGCAATGGAGAGTAGAAAGCTACCACTATGCTCCTGCAGAATGAAATGAGATTTCCTGGAAAAGACCATTTCCAAGGAACGGCATGGAAACCAAGACTAAGCACCTCCGGCTTTCTTTCTTGCTCTTTTTGGGGATGGGGGTTACCGGGCCCTCATTCAGCCCAAGGAAAAACTTGGGCATAAAGACCAACTGGCACAGAAGAACACATCTGAGGCCACATTCATCAGGGAAGAAGGAAGAGTGGGAACTTGGCCCTGCTTTGCCAGAAAGCCGCCACAAAGAGGAGGGCTTCAATTTATTTTCCAAAACACCAGAAGGCAGGACAAGAAAAAATGGATGGAAACTAATCAAGAAGCAACCTGGAATTAAGGAGAAACTTCCTAACAGTGAAGACAATCAACCAGTGGAACAGCTTGCCTTCAGAAGTTGTGGGTGCTTCAGCACTGGAGGTTTTTAAGAAGAGACTGGACAGCCATTTACCTGGAATGGTATAGGGCAGTGATGGCGAACCTTTTAGAGACCGAGTGCCCAAACTG